TCAATTCGGTTTCATTATTCTAAACTTTTACGTAGCAATTAAAATGTCTTATATTTTAAAATGATTGAATTTTCTGGTTTATAAAGAAATTTCTAAAACTATTCAACATTAATGAGTAGAATTAAGAAAATTATAGAAATTTTCTACGTGATATAAGATGATTTACTTATCGACAATAAGATTTTAGTTTTAAGGCAGTTGCACATTAAATGAAATTGTGGTACATTTTTGTCACAATTAGTCTTCTATCATTTTAAAGTTTTTTTAGTAATCGCTTTACAAAAGAAAAGAACTCGTAAAAGCTATCTTTTTTTGCCAGAATTACGACATTTATTAGAAAAACATTTCATGCTAATTTGCAACATTCTTCGAAAATTCTGTTTGAAAATTATACTCTAAAAGTCGCACAATCTTTATTATCATCTTAATTTTATAAATCTCAAAGCTATAGTAAATATCGATTACTTTAAGAAGCTTATATTACTTTGCTTATACTCGTAAGTTAAATAGAATTTAGCGCACTAATCCCATTTAAGGTTTAAAAAAAAAACATGTTTATTATTTTGCTTTTTTTAGGGTTCAGTTAAGCGTGTTTTTAATTGTTCTCCAATTTTTATAACAAATTAAAGTTTCATTCAATTTTTGACTTGCTTGATACAGTCGTAAAATTTCTATATGGTATAATTCTAATTCCATTAATCGATTAATACAATACAGCAATCCCTCCTCTAACGTAATTTTTGGGACCAAAAAATTTTTACTTTAAGTGAAATTACGCCATAGGAGGTTCTCTAAAACATTATAGATTAATTATGGCCTAAACTACAATGTCGCTAAATAAAAATATGTAAGAAAATAAATTTTTTTAAATCGAAATCATGTAGTAAGAGGTAACGTTATAAGAGGGATTACTGTATTTTAATTAAAAATTTCCATACAATAAAAAATAATAACAATGAGACAAAACTAAAATTTTCTTTTTAGTTTTCCAAAAAAAATTTAATTAGCTAGTTTCATTCAAATCAAATTAGTGAAAATAAAAATGAAATTTAATTCAGTCACAAAATATCCTGGTAATGAATGCATAATAAAAACAAAAACAAAACACGTCATTTTTAAAAACACTTTAAAATTACATTATGGACACCACAAAGTTTTGTAATTTAAAAATAATTTTGAGGACAATAATAACATCATTGTTTTTCATTATAGTGTTTATTCAAATGTACATTTATATTTAATTTTGTACTTTTTTATATTACTTTATCTAGTATACTACGTATTTGATATAAAGGAAATTTATGTAACTGAGATGCGCATCAACAGCTCATCGTTTACATGACCTTTCTTTTTCATATTTAATTCATTATTTTTTATGCATTTTTTATTTTTTTATTTATATTGTTTTTAAGGACAGAGCAATGTCCGCATTGCTCTTTATTGTTCTTTCAAAAAAAAAAACAATAACAAACAATACATTTTGTTTATAAATTTATGCAGATGTCCTTTAGAATATTCAGAGGTGTTTTCTTTCCAATTGTTCTACCCTTCCACTTCATTATTTTTTTTCCATTTTAATACAAAAACTTTTTCTAGCGGAAAACTTTAGACTTTCTTGTTTCCATTTTTATTTTTCTTTTTTTCTTGTTCTTCTCGCTTGTTCCATTTCTGAGACAACATAATATTATAGTAGTAGTAGTAGTTCTCTTGTATTATTTTTCTTTGTTTAATTTGATTGAAATAGAAATTCTAGGGGTGAAAAAAACATTAAAGTATACGAAAATGAAAACAAACGAACAATACGTTAGAAAAAAAAATTAAATCCACGAAGGACAAAAAAAAAGGAATGGAAATGGCATGAAAAAAAAAATTTAAAACGAGAATCCAATTGTAAACGTGATTCTTTTACAAAATAATTTTAAGGATGCTAAAACAAAAAGAAAACGAAAAGGACGTAAATAAAATACGGAAAACAAAAAGAACAGAAAAACTTTAAATTACACAATTTTTCTCTCAAGGTGTCTCATGATTTCTGTAATTTTCTTCTTTTTTTTTTGAGAAAAATTAAATTTTTGCACAAATTTTTCAAATATTTGACTTTAAAATTATTTAACAATTTTTTGAGGTATACTCGTATCTAATGTAAAGAAAAAAATTAGGTACCCAATTTTGTGTTGACTTTTAAGCATAAACCATGAATGAATATTTTAACATTTTTGTTCAAAAATTTTCACTCTTACTTCAATAGCAGTATTAGAGAGACGACGTGGAAAACGTTTTATTCTTACAATTTAGTTGATTAATCTTTAATATTATCTGAATATTTTCAAAGGATTGATTTAGTATCGGTTTTCCTATCATTTATGAAATCCTAAAATTTTGAAATAGAGGAGCAAAACCAATAATATTTTAGCTTAACTAACTTTTGATCTTACTTAATAATTATTTCAAAACAATAGTTTTAATGCTTTTCCAAAATATTAATTAACATTTGGAGATTATAGTATATACGTGGTGTTATAAACGTTATACTGAATTCGTTTAGTTTTTTTACAGATTCAGAAAATATGACAATAGAAAGAAAACTTTTGTTTTAGGTTTTTAGGCGATTACATGATTTTGAGAAGACAAAAGGAACCTTCACAGAAATACTTAGCAAAGATTTTTAAAATGTATCGTAAAATATTGAAGTGTTAAAAATCAATTTAAGAATTTATAACGTAAAGTCAAAATTCTCTGTCTTCTATAGCCTACAATCAATTAAATTCTTCTATGAATCTCGAAAACAATTTTTTTTTAATTTTACAACAGAAATCCTGTAAAATTTTCGATTTATTTTCAAAAATTAAGTTGAGTATCCTAGTACAAAAGGGATAAATAAACATATTCTATATTTTTTGATCTTATATATACTTGCATATTTTGTAAAGTCAGCTCTAATGAGTACATAAAATATCTAGACAGAAAATACACAAAAAAAAAACAAAATGTAAGGTTAAACAAAAAATGGAGTTAAAAAACAACAAAATTAAATAAAACAAAAAAAAACAATTACAACAAGAATTGTAATCAGGACACAAAACCATAGAAACGAATTTAAAAGCGCGGTTGGACCCAAAAACCTGAACAAAAAAAAAATAATAACAATATTATATACAAACGCTATTTTGTTTGTGTAATTGTAAAGTATATTCTTTAGCACAGAATATATTGTGTATAATATACAGGGTGATCTAGTAAGGAGTACAATTTTATTAAATAAAATCAATGAAAATCAAAAATAGTGTCAATTTTTTGAGTTTCTACGTGTTGCTAGGACCCTTAAAATCTTGAAATAGAAATGCTTTTTGTGCTCTGCATTCTGTTTTCTAAATTAAATTTTAAGAAATCAGAATTTTTCTAAAGTTCGAGTGCTTGGTATTCCGAAAGTAAAAAAAAACAAATTCTGAAAAAAACAAAATCCGAAAGTAAAAAAAGGAACCTTAACAAATAATATCAAGCTTTCAAGCTTTTTATTAGCTGTCCCAAGAACTGGTTATATGAACCTTATATTTTTTTCGGAGTGAAAGTTTTAATCAAAAATGCCTTGGCAAGTGAAAATATCATGAAAATTAGCTATAGTTCCTTAATCTCAGACACTTGACAACATCTCAGATATTTGACAACATTCTCGATGATTTAAACAATGATCTATAATATTGTATTCTTTACTGAATAACCTTGTATATATATATATATATATATATATATATATAATAATATACGTGTTGTTTTAAGTAAAAGAGAGTACATTACAAAATAGTTACAATTGAATGAAAAAAACGCTAACGAAATAACATGAAAATTCTAATTATACACCGAATTTTCCATTATTTTTGTTGTTGTTTTTAATGTTTAGGAGACACTGAATAGAAAATGAAAGGACATTTTGTGTATCCCGAAATGAAATAATAGATTATTTTTATTTTGTTTTGCCAAGGCTCACATTTTTTCTTTTTTGTTATATATGAAAGGAAGGAAATTCTAATTAGTTAAATCGTTACTGTAAAGAACTTTAAAGGGGTCCATTATTTTCTATGTTCCTTGTTTTTTTTTTTTTTGGGTGCTTTATAAAGAGAAAGAAATAAAGAGAAAACTCTCACATTTAACGCGTTGGAAAAAATTGTTTTCAAAAAGAAAAATATTTAAAACATTTTAAAATAAAAGAAAATAATTTAAAGGGTTTAATTTTTATTTTCATAAAATTCTAACAGAAGCATTTTATAAAAATTATTTTTATTATTTTAATTTTTACTAAAGCAGTTATGAAGCTACGAAAACGTACGACATATTTTAATTTGTTTTAATTAAATAGTAGGTATTTTTAATTTTCTTTTATTTTTATTTAAATTGAAGCGTTTGGCTTGAATTTAAGAAATTTTTTATAACAATCGCAAATAAAATTTTAAAGAGTGTAATAATGATAGGCAAAACAAAATAGTAGTGATAATTTAATGATGAACGAAAGTATAATTTTGTTTTATGAAAATTAGTTTGGTTTCTTTTTGAATTGAATCAAATGAATTTATAATTTATGAATAACTTGTGTTATATTTAAGAGCTTCAATTTAATATAGACGCATTCTAATTGAATTAATTTGGATTGAAAAATTAACTGGATTCCGTCTGGTTAATCCCGCAATTATTTAAATAATTAATTTTTTTATATTTGAATTTGTTTAAATGAATATTCGTTGCAGAATTTTATAAAATTTTAATATTAATAACTTTAATTTTAACAATTTTATTGCGGTAAGGAATACAATCGATAATATGCTAATAAAAATATTAGTTTTTAACTTGTAAATATATTGTATGTAATGCAATGCTATATAAATTTATATTTCAGTTTTGGAAACTTACATTGTTGTTATTTATTTTCATAGAATCAAAACAAAGATCTCCGCTTATTGAGTAATAGCTTACTAAACACTTGTATTTATAAATAAAATTTTATTTACCTCGTTTTATTTTTCTAATTCGACCTCTATGTAGTTTGACATTATACTAAAATAAATAAGGCATTTTTAAATATGAAGAGTTGTTGATTGCGCTGAATTGCAGATGTCCTTTTAAAGTAACTTCGTTATACACATAAGTAATTATTGCTTTGAACACCGAATAAAGTTAATACTAACCTGCAAAATAGAAAATATGAAAAAAAAATTTATTAACTTTGCATTATTATGAAAATTATATTTTATTATTTAATTTTAGAATTGTAATGCGTTTTGCCGGAATAATATTTAGAATATTCTAGAAAAAAGGAAATTTTTATGATAATCAAGTTCTATAATTAATTATTCTATAATAACACTACTCGAATAGTTAAAGAGGAACTTCTTTTAAATTTACTGTTAAAATATTTATTTTTCATTGAATTTTTGTCGAACTTTTCAAAGATAAAATTTTTGAAGACTTTGAATCCAACATGAACATTGGATATTCCTAGTCGTAATCATTAAAACTCATTTAAATATTAGTCATTTATTCGATTTCAAAAACAGTAATTGTTTTTGATTTTCTAAGGAAATTTTAACTTTCGTTCTTGTTTTGACCACCAACTTAATTTTAAACTAAATTATAAATATAATCTAAATTTGTTCTGATTAAGTATAAGCATTAAATATAATTAAAAATTATGGACCCTGGTCCAAAATACTTATACTTAATGCAGTTATTGTTATTTTATTGCATATTTTTAACAATTTGAAGTATTTATTATTTTAGTTCACAGATGAAATATTTGGTAGACTTTGTGGATTCCAAGAAAACCAAATTGGGCAAGAGGACATACTCTTTAGGCCACCGCAGCTATTTGCGTCTTATTGTAGCCTCCCCACGATCCCGTATATAATATCTTCGTCTTAGAGATATCGCAAAGAGAATTAGACAGCACAAGGACGCTCAGTGAAACGCTCAGTTACCGCTCTCACAAGATGTGCACAAGGAGGAAACCAATTTCCCCAGCTTATACCATTATCTTTTCATTCGTATGTAGATGAAAATGTATGATGTTATAGGGATACATCAAATTCAAAATGTAAATTAAAATTGACTTAAACTTTAAGCTCTTTTCTGTTTTGCAATTGAGAAAATTCATTTTTGATTCAATGTTATTATTTGTGTAATTATTTCTTTCTCTTCTATTAAAAGTAGAGAGAGCACTCAGAGAAAATAAAATTTTATATGAAGTCTTAATTTTTCTCTTTCTTTGTTTATTTTTCGCCCGGCCTAATTAACAAATAAATTAAACCTGACTTTGTTATTGAGCTATTAAATTTTTTACTGAATAAAAATTATTAGCTAAAATTTCAATTCGATAATTTTTTTTTTCCATACTAGGTTAACTTTAAAAATTTTATTTTAAATTTTATTTGAAGAGTTTTCTAATTTCACTTCGTTTTAAGCAAAAGAGTCAACATATTTATAAGTAGGTAAGCAACTAATTCAATTTCAAATATAAAATTCATAAATCATTTCTTTCGTTTTTTTCTGTTTTTTTTTTTTTTTTTATATTCTTTTGATTCAAGGACTTTATATACAAAATATTCATGTGTAAATAATGGATACACACAAACATACATTATTTTTCAACAGTTTACCATTAAATGAAAAAAAAAAGTCCTTTTAAAATTTCTGAATCTTTCATTTGCTTTCATATCAATAAATTTTCGCATTTTTCAATATTAAAATCCGACAAAAAAATAAAATAAAATCAAAAAGACTAGGAAGGAAAGCATTTTTTTTTTAGTTAATAAAAAATATGATATCGATAATAAGTTCTTAGCAGAAGCAATATAATAAATCGTTTATTTAAAAGCTGACTTTTCTTCTCTCTATATAATATTACGAGTTGCATATTATATTTTTTGCATCGTTTAATAATATTTTTTTTTAATAGAAAAAATGCCATCAGAGATATTTTTATTTATACTTGATAATATCTACATATATACGAGTATATATAGAGGCATGCATATGCTCTAAGGATATATAAATTTTCTGAAATTTAATAATAATAATTCATATAAAATATGAATGATATTAAAAAAAATATATATATATATGCATGTATAACAGTATATTATAATATAATGAAGAAGGATCATTTATAAAATTTTATAATATCAATAATGTATAATACTCGTATCTATACAGAGTCTGATCAACAAGTAATAAAAATTATATTCAATAAGGTACACAAAATTAAAATTTTATAAATGTGATCATAAATTCTTTAAAGTGTTTTAATTTATTGAAATTAGTTTTCTTTTAATCCAATCAAGTATAGTGTATAGTTTATATTATATAGATTAAATGAGGGTAAAATAAATTAAATGTTGTACAACAACTTTTCAAGGAATCGTCATTTCACTCCCTTTAGTCTCGTAATAGTATGGTTTTTCTATACGCAATATTATTTTATATTTTAAACATTTTTTACATAATTTCATGCACCTTATTCTATTTAAGAGTTAGAAGTGAACGACAAAATCGAGGAAAATAATTATTTGAAATAAACTGAACTTTTTGGAATTAAACTACTTCGACTATCACATTGAGATTATTTTTTTGAATTTATTTTTAAAATATTGAGTAAACAAATTTCGTAATATATTTTCCAATAAAAATTATTAATTATGATTAAACACGGCTATTTGAAAAAATGAAATTTCCTCAAACATTCTCTTTAAAAATTAATATATATAATTTGTTGATATCCACATCAGCTAAGGATATCTGGTATGCTTAGCTGCCTCAAGGATTAGAATAAATTCAATTGCCTATGTATACAGTTATCATAAAAATGTAAGAATTTGAAAATAAAGTTAATCATAAATAAGACACAATATCTAACATGAAATATCAAAAAATATCGGCCGTAATTGAAAACATAAATGGGAATCAAGATCCATAAGTATACTGCATTTTTGTTATGGATACCTACGCAATTTTGATATCCCTTCTTATACCGTCATTAACAACCCTTTTTCTCAATTTTTCTTCTATTCAAAATAAAGTCTTGCATATCTCTATAATAATGTACTTTACGTTAATACTGAAGTTCGTGCAATTATAATATGAGATCTTCCTTTCTTTAGATTTCTTTATAACTACCCTTATATGTATGGAACATTTTGTCATTCCTCTTAACATTCTGCTGCTTTTTTTTCATCCTTCACCCTTCTTTATACAATGATTTTTTTTTCTATTATCGAGATTTTTCATTTATTTTCTTCTTTTTTTTATGTTTTTTTTTTTTTTGCTTTCTATGGTGGTGTTTATGAATTCTTGTAATTGCATATAAAGTGGTCCTTTAAACTGAAAATAATTTTCAAGTTGAATTACTACTTTTGCCCTTTTATAATATAAAGAAAAAATTTTTTGACTCTTGAAAATTTTGAAAAGCAATAATCTTACATTCTATATAAATAAATAATTATATCTAGAATTGGAAGTCTAATGAATATAACTTCAATATGAATGGCTGTGTTTGTTTGTATTTTGATGAGGAAAATTTGATATAAGCTTGCATGTATGAATATAGGTATATTATGTTATATTAATATGCTTGTAAATTTATTACTATAAAGTACTTGAGCATATGTGCCATTTTTGTACGAACTAAAAAAATTTCAATTTCAAAATACTATAAATATTTCGTCTTGATTTTTTTAGAATGGAATTTTTTTGTTTAATTTGAAAATTGTGTTCGGATAATTTTAATAAAAGTATAAAATATTTATAATGCTAATTTTCTTAATAAATTCTACAATTGTAGAATAAGTCAATTGGTTGCTGTGTGTTTTTATGAATATAACGTATGTGAATTTGAATGCGACCGTACCCTTCTCGATAAGAAATTTTGATTTCAGGCAATGTCAAATTTCTTTCTCGTTTTCAGTGAATCACAAATATGTAAGAAAATAATATAATTTAATAATATTGTCTGCAACTATGCCAGTTTACTTTCAGTTGCATCAAAGACAGAGAAAACTGTATGAGAAGGAAATAATCCTATTAATGAAACAATTTTAAAATTTTAATAATTTTACAATCTCTTTAAATAAATTTTCACATTGACCTATAAGTGCAATTAATTTTGGAAATTAGAGTGAGTCTCTTACTTATGATCATTAATCATAAAAGCTGAAAATTTTTTACAATAATTTCTCTAAGTAAAAACATTTTCTATTAACAAATAATAATAATTGTTGAATAGCAATGAAACTTGAGTGGACTGAAACTTTTTAAGTAGAACCTGACTAATAAATAAAATGTTTGCATTATACAAAATATCAATCATACGATAGAAAGAGAGAGAGAGAGATAGATCGAAAGTGATAGAATAAAGCGAGTGAGGGATGGATGAACAAATAAGTTTCTTTTTCTTTTGCTTATTTATTCATTTTTCAATTTATTTCCAACTTCTTTTTGTATACAATTACTGTTATTTTATTTTATTTTTTCATTTTAATTTTCTCTGTCGTTATTTTACTTGATGCGCTCATAATATATACATAGAAACATATACATACTGGTATTCAAAGACCAAAATCTTAAGTAATATGATGATAGCGATAATAAAGGACATCAAAAAGGATAAATGTAAAATATATTATTATCTAGTTGGTATAAATTTAATATATAACATTACTATTGTATTGTAAATATAAATCTATAAGACGTACATATTTATTTAAAAAGGTTTGTCTATCCCGAAATATCTACGCATATAGAAATGTAATTTTTATAAACGAAAGTAAATTTTTTTTTCTTGATGTATTTATAAAATATGAGAAAATTGTTTTATTTTGGTATTATTATTTAAAAACTGAAAATGACAGAAATGATGGAATATTTAAGGGCATCAATATTGTTATACAATATAGAAATAATATTCTTATGTATAATCTAAGCATAAGTATATGTGTGACTTTGCACATTTTCCATTACATACATACATATATAGCACTTTTCTAATAATGAAGATAGTTTAATGTCGTTTATATTTTGTAGATTCATTACAAAATTATATTGAAATGATAGTGATTTGAAGTAATACTGTTATACATAGTGGAATTGTAATATTGTAACAGGGGTAAATATGTGAAGGGTTGCTTTTTTACCAAATTTTGTTTGTTATTTGTTTTATTTTTTTTTCGATTTTGCTTTTAAATTTTTTAATGATTTGATTCTGTGCAAATGACTTGAAGATCAGTTTAAAAGTGCTATTTATTATTATGTAGAAAGTAGATGGGGAATAGATGATGATATAGTAAAGACGCAAAGTTGCCTCTTGTATGTATAACAGCAATTGAAAGAAAAAAGTTGATAAGAATGGAAGCATATTTGAATGTAAAAAAAAGCAAAAAAAAAAGTTGGAAAAATAAAATAAAAATTGTCGAGACAAAATAAAATTGGTTTGCTTTGACCCAGCCTCGTCCTTTATTTATTTTATTTTTACACATTTTTTTTTTTCTTATTGAACGTCTCACTAACCTTTTGCCCCTTGAGTTTTTATTAACATTTTTGTTCTTGAAGCTTCACAATATTTCATTTCCAAGCATATTTGTGTACAAAATTGTTTTTTTTTGTGACGACGGAGTTTCTGTCGTAGATGTGAAAATATTTATATGGAAAAATTGTGAAAATTTTAAAAAATTGTTTAAGTTTTCCTTTTTTTTTTAATTCTATTTATTCTTGAGGTTTCTTTTTTCTTTCGTTTTATTTTTATAGTTAGCTTCCAAGTAGTGAAGATTTTACTTTACTTGTTTACTTTTCTGGTTGTTTTTTATTTGGAAAATTTGTGGTATAGAATTTTTTTTCTTTAACTTTTGTTGATTTCCCATTTCTTTAATAAATAAATAAACGAGTATTTTGTGGACATTTTTTTTTCTTTATTTAATTTTTATAAATAATTGGTAAATTTTTCAAGTTTTTTTTTTTTTATGTTTTGTAATTCTGAACTTTCTTTTTTATTTACTCAGAGGAAGAAAAAAAAGTAAATAAGTACATGGTTTTTTTGTTTGATAAATATTTGCATAAAACTATTTTAGGAAAAATTTTCGATATTGAAGAGAGTATTGGAAATTTAGATGAGTATAGAGTGGAATAAATTTGAATATAAAGAAAAAAACAGTGAAGACAATTAGTGGTTGCAAACGTTTACAGTTTATTTTAGTAAAATTGTATAGTCAGAAATTTATTCCTCAAGATATAATCAAATAAACTAAAAATTTTACTAAATAAACAGATATTCGCTAATTTTTAAAAATTAAATTTTAGAATACTAGTCAAATCGTATGGTATTTTTAATGATAAAATTTAATACTGTCACTTCTATTAATTTGATTTTAATTGTTATCTAGATAAGATATATCGTTCCCTTTTTCAACTTAATAGCTCCATAATATGTGCAATATTTATGTGTATAAACTGGTAAATATTTTACTAAACTAGGTACATTATTTTTATAATATTATAGTGTTAAGCTAAGGTACGCGATAATATATATAATTTATCCTTTTTTTTTTGCTACAAAAATATATACGAATATAAATTTCGACTCTATGATGTATATCTACGAGTACGTACACATAAATAGAAATTTTTGGAAAGAAAGTATTTTTGTGTTGCTACTGTATGTTTACATAGCATACAATGAATTAACAATAATCATGTTGTAAAAACAGAAATGAATTAAAAATGAAAAACTAGAATTTTATCACAAGCCGAAAAGAGTGTAAAATTATAAACCAAAAATGATGAGAAATTAATGAAGATTATATGAAAAATTCTGTAAAAATGAATTTTTGTTTAAAAATAAATCTATCAAATGTAAGCATAAATTTCTTCGGAATCATCAAATAAAATTTGTACGATTTTATCAAAATCGTACAAAACGAAATTTCTATTTAAATTTTGATGCAATGCATTATTTAATTATATTGTGTTTATATGCTAAAAATTTGTTTTAAAAAATTTCTACTTACAACTGAAATAACACAATATGCATAGAAAAAAATTAAGGATACATAATTTGACAATTATTTCAGTGTTAACAACGTGGCAGACACAACATCAAATAAATTCTGAACATAACATATCGTAAAATTTATTTTTGTAGACATTTGAGAACACGATACAAAATGTTTTCAGAATAATTTTTCATTAAAAATTTTCCTCAACTTGCTGCTATTACTAAACTAGGTACATAATATTAAGCTAATTTTAATAAATATAAAATTCAGGTTTTAATTTAATATAGAACCAAAAATTATTTCAGTCATTTCTTTTTGACATTTTGACCTGATTTCTATTCAATATTTAAGATTAAAATATCGCCTTAATATTGTTATACAAAAAAAAAATTTAATTAAATAAAAAATTAAGTATGAAGAAGCTCATTTTTAGATGGTTAAAAATTTTTCCTGTAAATTTAATAACAATTTATTTGATTTCATACATATACATACATACTATATAATATGTAATATTGTATAACAAATTATGTAATATATTTCTTAAAAAAAAAAATCTATTTTCTTTATTAAATAACTTGCCTTATACTTGATCATAATTCTTTATGTAAATATATGTAAAATTTATAATATAAAATTTTCTTTAAATTTAATTTTCCAAAAATTCAGTATCTAATTTTCTTTTAAAATTTTCAACAAAAACAAAAATAGAATAACAGGGAAAGTAAATAAAATTAAATTTTCAGTTTTATATACTTATATAGAATATGCAAAGACACCGCATATACATATACAAATTATGTAAACGAAGCTACAGATATAATTTAGTTTAGTGAATTTATTTTCTCTTTCCTTCTTGACTTTTTTTTATAAACCTGTATACACTCCTTTTAACTATATATATATATATGTATACCAGCCCCTACAATATTAGATTAACCAAGATATTAGAAGAAAAAATAAAGAATGAAAATCATAGAAAAAGTATTTTAATCTTTAAAATATAATTATTTATCCTTGCGAGAAAAATGTTGAAAATTAAGTTTAACATTTTAATATAAATTTAACATAACTATAAATATAATATAGCTACACGCATATATACATAATAATATTATGTATACGCAAATACCGAATGTATATATACAAAAATATAGGTACCATAAAAGTATAACACAAAGTAGTAGAATAACCTGTATACAAGAAAAGTAATATCTTACGTAAAATATTGTTATTTTTAAATAAATTAAGAAAAAAAATCTT